CCCTAACCTTTAGTATGATAATAACAGCAACAATGCTGACGATACTGGCCTTAACAAACACACCACTATCAAATTATTGTGAAATATGACTCATCAGGCCAGCCCATCAGCTAATGTGTGGTTGATAAAAGTAGAAATCTTAGCAGTCTATCCTAGAAAAAGCACTGGACCCAATTTTTAGCAGCCCTATGCAATGCCAGCAGATGGTCCGTGAGGGCATGACCGAGGCCTCTGCTGGTCTGTCTGAACATGCAGAGTGTGTGTGTCTGTCTGTGTACCTCTGAGGGTCGTGGCCTCCTTCTCGTCCATCTGCTGCTGCTCCCATTGCACGCTGATTGCAGTAAACCAAAACACACAAACACTCAGCGACTGATGTGACACACAAATCAAGCACAATCTCAACCGTGAGCACTCTTCAGAAATCACACAGGCACTAACAGACCTGGACACCTCTCGGAGGTAAACCGTCTGCATGGCTCTCTGCAGATGGGGCTCAATGTTTTTCCATAACTTGTGAATATCACTCTCTTTGGCTGAAGGAAGCAAGAAAACATTTCAAACACTGTACTGACACAAAAAGAGGGAGTTTATTTTATTTAAAGGGACAGGTCGCTCAAAAATGACAATCAAGAAAGTTAATCAAAATCAAGCATTTCACATTTGGCGTGGCCCTCACACAAAACGCCATATGGATCAGGAAAACTGACAGACTACTTTAAAGAATTAGTTCACCCAAAAATGAAAATTTACTCACCCTTCCAAGATATAGATACATTTGTTTCTTCATCAGAACAGATATGGAGAAATGTAGCATTACATCACTTGCTCACCAGTGGATCCTCTGCAGTGAATGGGTGCCGTCAGAATGAGAGTCTAAACAGCTGATCAAAACATCACATTAATAATCCACAAGTAATTCACACGACTCCAGTCCATCAATTAACGAAGTGAAGTGAAAAGCTGCGTGTTTGTAAGAAACAAATCTATCAGTTTTGATGCGAGAAGACAACAAGGGACAGGCTTTTTCACTGGAGGAAGCGTTATTATGGATTATGGACTGGTATTTTGGCCAGAGGCGACGGTTTAAAGTTAAAACACCGCAATGCTGCATTTGTTCCTTAGAAATGCTCAGCTTCTGACTTCACGAGACATTATTTGAACTGGAGTCAATTGCTTGTGGATTACTGTGATGCTTTTATCAGCTGTTTGGTCTCTCATTCTGATGGCACCCATTCACTGCAGAGGATCAATTTGGTCAACATAATAAGAATACAGATTTCAGACAACATGAGGGTGAACAGATTATACAATTTTCATTTCTGGGTATACTAAGCCTTTAAATGGAAAGATTAAATGTAAGCATCACTCAGTAGTGTTTAAATATTTTACCTTCTCCTTTCTCCAGGGGTTCACAGAACTTGGAGAAATTCAGGGCAGCCTGTTTAAATTAAATTTTAAACAGTGTATTTTAGTATATTTAGCATTTTAGTACCACCTAATTTATTGTGTCTTTGTGAAGCTGGTGAAAAGCAAAAACACTTTCTACTGGTTCATGAGCACCTGCTACATCTTAAAAACTGCCACAAAATAACTGCTGTTTGTTGCTGTAGACTCAGGTAGCTTAAAGGCAAGTATGATCTCACCAGGTGCCTGAGCTCTCTTAGATCTCTGCATACTGAGAAGAAGACCCCCAGCAGGATGTTTATGTAGGAAGCGTAGAGCTCAGGTGTGTAAGATGGGTGATGATCCCAAGACAGAATCTGCACAAGCTCCACTGAGGGACCAGGAAAAAAATAAAAAGGATTTTAGACACATTTCATTCATCCATTCAAGTATTAAATATCCTTGGCCCTGTCTGCACCCAGTACTAACGCTCTCTCAGTTGAGAGCCTCTGATTGTGTTACTATATGTCGAAAAAGCTTAAAAAAGCCTAAAAGTGTTGACAAATGCACCAGAATTTTAATCTCATCACAAATGTGACATTTCCAGCGGAATAATCTTTGTTATATAAAACGTTGGGATATTGACAAATTTGATCTTCACTTATATTTACATGACCTCACTGTTCAGATCGTGCTACAATTATATCAAAATCTGTCATTTGATACCCATCTTTAACTCTGATGGTCTTACACTCTTACCTTTACTGTAGTCTGGAAAATGAAATAGCAGAGGTTCAAAGCAGCCAGTGTTGGGCCGAAACTTTTCCCACACAATTTCACTGAGCAAGATGACGGTCACATTATCATTTACCTGCCAAAGGGTGGAAAAAATGTTCAGTTAAGTCTAAAAATAACTCATCTCCAATGTATAACAATGACTATTAACAAAATAGTCTCTATAAAGTCTCAAGTCTCCACCAGAGGTCAGATAAAGAAGAATGAAGAAAAGAGAATTTGCTTATCAGACATAAGACTATATAAAGAACAGGTATTCTACTTGATGCAGTAAAACATTAGTTAAACTGAGCGCATACCAATTCCTGTAGGCGCAGAAGAGCAGGAAGCAGGCTGAAATCCATATCTCTCATGCGTTCAGCTCTGTCCAGAATCTACAGGGACATTATGTAACATTATGTCACATTAAGGCACATCTTTAATAAATATCTAAAAGCACAGACATAACATTCTGACAAAATTCCAAACATATTATTTCATCAATATTATACTACATATACGTATATACATACATACATACTACATATATGTAAAATAAACTCACTATATAGCGTGTCTGAGTGGCAGGTGAATTAGAGCTCATCTGTTTGTACAGTCGCACAAAATCTGACAAAGACGGGCAACGGGGAAGCAATGCTGCAGCATCGGGTCCAAAAAAGGCAGACAACACCTGGTGAAAGAGAAGCCCACTGGACACACACTCAACACAGTCCACTGACGCATGGGGGAGCTGAAACACACACACACACACACACACAAAACAACAAACACTACATGACTTTTAAAGCACTAGGCAGCATACACATGCCTACTTTGTAAATGGTTACAGAGGAAAACTAGTCATCATACACTACATGTCGACTAAAGATTCACACAGTTGTTTCAAACACAACAAACTCATGCAGAAACATGTGCCTTGTTTCTAGAAGTCACAAGACAAATGGAAATAATATATGTTTAATACATGTTTGATGTCCTCAGACTGGACAGATTCATAGTCTGGAGCTAATAAAGCTAGTCATTCACTATGAAATTTTCAGAGAAATCAGTCAAGTCTAACTGAAAAAAAAACTGGTTCTGAATTTGTGACTAGAGTGACTCCTTAAAACTGTAAATTGTGCCAAAGGTTGGGTAGTGCATTCCATAAATTAGCACTTTTACAGGTTTTATAAACCACAACTTTCCAAATACTCTGTTTTCATGATCTTACCTCCAGATCTTTCATGATGGAGAGCACCACATGACTCTTTCCTGTTGCTCTGTGGCCATAGATGAAGAATGAAGGATAACTGTATTGATCTGGCTGTTAACAGACATAGAAACCACAGTTCACATTAATTGCAGACATTTATAATTTAATATATTTAAAATATAATTTATTAATGTGAAGCTGAATTTTCATCAGCATCATTACTCCAGTCTTAAGTGTCACATGATCCTTCAGAAATCATTCTTAAATGCTGATTTATCATCAATATTGGGAACAGTTTTGCTGCTTAATATTTTTTTGGAACATGTGATATTTTTTTCGGGATTCTTTGATGAATAATATGTTAAAAAGAACAGCATTTATTCAAAATAGAAATCTTTTGTAACAATATGCGCTACCGTTCAAAAGATTGGGGTCAGTATTTAACTCACCTGTCCCATGAGTGACAGCAGTGACTTCAGCTGTGTCTCTCTGCATGGCAGTCTGTCAGCCAGAGAGCGCAGTGTGTCCTCAGGATAACCGGGACACTGCAGCGTTACAGACATTCTCTGATCATAATAAAACACCTGTATCAGTGTCATGTTAAAAAAGAACTAACTTACGTGTTGTAGTTTTTAGCATTAACGTTACAGCTGATAGAAAACGTGCTTGCGTTTGAAAAACAGTAACGTTAGTGACGTAAGGGGCGCAGAACGCACGGATCTTTAAACTTGATCTTAAACGCTTCCCTAAAAACGCTGAAAAGGACAGAAACCCGACGCACAGACATACATCTGATGCATATTCATAAGCAATTAATAACCAAAACTGCGAAAACACATTGTGAATATTTACACGTGTTCAAACCAACAGACCACTTCGTTAAACATGTCACTTTTCAATAAAAGCTTGTAAAAAACAATATAAATACCTATACTTGAGAAACGAACGGTTATATTTTTCCGTTTTTGAGGAACAGAGAACTTCACCTCAGTTTCCCCGCGCTGTTGACGAAGGACGTCACGAGTCCGCGTCATTTCCGGACAAGGGTCTGGGATTTGTAGTTCTTGATGTTTTAAATCCCAATGCCTTTGAATTTCATTTTTAAACGTTTAAAACCGAGAATCCATATTATCATCAGCTTGAAAGTCAAAAGAGACGCAGGTGAACTTAGATATAATTTTAGGGAATACATTTATTCTACAGGCACGCAAGCGTCTCTTCATCTGCTATGCGGACGGGAGTGACAGACGCAGACTGAATATTCGGGTGTGCCAGAAATCTGCGCTGTTCGCTCGAGCGCACTCCATCCCCGCGAGCGAGTCTCATCGCGATCAACACGCGCGGCATGAATCTCATCCCAGCGTGTATTTACTCAGGCGACATCACTGTGGTGGTCAGGTGTAATGTGTTTTATTGCTCGGAGATGTGCGCACAGGATTAAATCGGATGGAGCAGCGGTACGCCGTTAAGCCAGCAGCCGAGAGGAGAGCGATATTTGCGTTAAATCTGAGAAGAATGGAGACGCAAAATATGATGCAGTGCAAGTGTCGTCATCCGAACATCCGTTAATTCTGTTAAACGCAACAGCAAGATTTATCACGGAAAGTCCTTTATATCTTGTAATAGCCTCATGGAAACAGCCCTTTGGACTGTGTAAGGTATATTATTGTTTTTATATAAGTATATATATATATATATATATGTATATATATTAATAGATACATGTCTTTAATCTCTTAAGGTTTGAGTATTCGCAAACCATTTAAGTATTATTAATTTATTCGGGTTATCATTAAGTATTCTAGCGCCTTCAAAGCTGCGTCCTTCTTCATTGGGATGTCCATGGTGTTGGTCCTCTCCTGCATTGGCTCCTTCGCCTTCTTCTTCTTCTGCAGTACAGCCACTGTGTATAAGATCTGTGGGTGGATGCAGCTGGCAGCAGGTGAGTGAGTGACAGTGCATCCTTTGGAGGTTTCTCAATGCGTAGTGATGTACGAGTAGCTAAGAGCCAGGAGTTCAATATGAAAGGGTGGAAGTCAGAAAGACAATCTGTGAAGTCCAAACACAGACAGGCATATCTACTGATATTTGCAGTTGGCATATTCTAATATATATCTAATAAGTTTGTCATGGCACCATGAAAGAAAAAAAAACATTGTTATCATAGTACTTTAAACACCGTACCATTCAAAAGTTTGGGGCAATTTAAAAAAATAAATTAATTAATACTTATATTCAGCATGGATGCATTAAGTGATCAAAAGTGGAAGTAAAGACATTATATTGTGGCAAAATACTTTTTTTTTAGCACCAAATCATCATATTAAAATGATTTCTAAAAGATCATGTGACACTGAACACTGGACTAATGGCTGCTGGAAATTCAGCTTTGCCATCACAGGAATAAATTACATTATAAAATATATTCAAATAGAAAATAAATATATATTATTTCAATTTAATATAAAAAAAATGAAATTGAAATCATTTCAAATAACTTTTGAACATACATTTAAATTCTAAATACAAGGAGTATTTCAGTAGTAGTCTAACAATTTGTGGTCCAATTAAATTTTTTTACATATAAACCTCAGATTTTTAACGTTTTCTCAGGCGTTTGGACTTCACTGTAATATGTTATATATATATATATATATATATATATATATATATAAAATTATTTTTAAATAAGTGTATCCTATGTATTCTGACACGTGCATGGATGTCTCTGGGCTAAGCCCCGGATATCTAGTCACGTCCCTGTCATGGTATATATATATGTCCAAAAAGCAGTTTAAACTCGTAAAGTATAAGTGACAGTGCATCCTTTGGAGGTTTCTCAATGCGTAGTGATGTACGAGTAGCTAAGAGCCAGGAGTTCAATATGAAAGGGTGGAAGTCAGAAAGACAATCTGTGAAGTCCAAACACATACAGGCATATCTACTGATATTTGCAGTTGGCATATTCTAATATTTTTATAAGTTTGTCATGGCACCATGAAAGAAAAAAAAACATTGTTATCATAGTACTTTAAACATCGTACCATTCAAAAGTTTGGGGCAATTTAAAAAAATAAATAAATTAATACTTATATTCAGCATGGATGCATTAAGTGATCAAAAGTGGAAGTAAAGACATTATATTGTGGCAAAATACTTTTTTTTTAGCACCAAATCATCATATTAAAATGATTTCTAAAAGATCATGTGACACTGAACACTGGACTAATGGCTGCTGGAAATTCAGCTTTGCCATCACAGGAATAAATTACATTATAAAATATATTCAAATAGAAAATAAATATATATTATTTCAATTTAATATAAAAAAAATGAAATTGAAATCATTTCAAATAACTTTTGAACATACATTTAAATTCTAAATACAAGTTTTTGGGGTATTTTTCTTTTTTAATAAGACTAAACCGTTCCGATGTCATTATGTGGATGTGCAATTCCCTATCAAAGATTCCAACCATTAATTAAAATACTGTGTAATGAACCGCCATCCGTGTGATCTCTACTGAGTAGTCTTTTTGGTGCATCCCCCAAATGTGATGCTTGTAGAAAAACACTTAAATCAGAACCGCTAGCCATTCAGTGAATCCACAGTGGACAAGATTATATAAATAAATAAATCATGCATACCACTTTATTATCCTTAAATAAAACAGATGAGCATGATGAGAAAATTAGCTCAAGCATTGGATGTGTCTTTTTTTTCTTCTGTAAAAAAACAACAACTGCAGATAGGCGTAGTCAGTTTATTTTTCCCCAGCTGACCAATGCAGAATGTGTCCTTAAATATTATTAATAATAGATGCTTCTAGTAGTAGTTTTATGTTGTTTACTGGCCTCTGAAATTTGGGTTTAGTTGTGTTGTGCTCTGAAGGCTTGCATTTAATAGGAAGTAGAATCTATGAAATGAGCAGATGAGAGAGCTCAAGATGTGTGAACTGCATTTGTGCACAATGCTTTCATCTGAAGGCTTTGGCTTCAAAGGACTACATGAGTAGAGTCAGCAGTAAGAAGAACATACAGCATATCTCCCTGTATGCTAATATTTATTTCATTTTAACACTTCTTTTGGTTCTGTTTTTTTTCTCTTTTCCTGTTCATTTGTATTCTTGACAGAGTCTGAAGTGACTGACCACCCTCTCTGAATGTGTGTGTGTGTGTGTCTCTGGTGGACTGTGATCGGTTTTTGCTGTTGGAAGGGAGGGATGCACCACAAGAGAAAATGTTCTAAACATATCCAGCAAAAATTCTCAAAATGTTGAGCGCTCTGTAAACATTTCATATTTTCTCAGAGAGGAAAAAGACAGGGGTTGTCTATTTTTGTGCCTGGCCTCAGGGACTTCAGGTGAGTTTTGAAAGTAACTCACAGTTGTGGACGAATTACTGTCATAGGTGCCTTATTTGCAGCTGTCAGAGCAAAATGACACGATGTTCTTGCAAGCCTCTATATTACTTACATATTAATTAGCTGTTTATAGAGAACAGTTCTGTAAGCATTTACTCAACCTTATGTCATTCCAAATCCATATGATTTTTTTTTCCTTCTGTGAAACACAAAAGATGTTTAACAGAAAGTTCACTCAGCTCTTTCATACAATTAAAAAAAAATACAACAATCAAGGGCAGTCAAGCTTCAAAATACAAAAAAGTACTTTAAAAGCACATCGGCGGCCGCAGGACATCACTAGTTTCTCACACTGCGCTGGTGTGATCTTGGTCCACTCTTCTTCCACTCTCTTCCATAGTAACTGTAGTGGGTTTCTTAACCATAACTTTGTCGCTAAAGATTTTCCAGAGATTTTCAATCGGGTTTATATCAGGACTCTGGGCTGGCCATGCTCTTAGCTTCAAGGAACTGCTTTTCCTGTTTTGCAGTGTGACGGGGGCATTGTCTTGCATGAAAATTGCAGGCTGATTGGGAGATGCTTGCAGGGAAGGAACAGCATGTTGCTGAAGAAGTTTCTGATAAACAGTTGTATTCACTCTGCCATGTAGCTGTATAAGAGACCCAACTCCTGCTGCAGAAAACATCCCCCAAAGCATGACACTTCCTCCTTCACGTTTCACTGACTTCTTTACACACTTTGGGTTCAGTCCTTCCCCAGTTTGACGATGAACATAACGTTTCCCATCAGACCCAAATAAATTAAACTTGCACTCACTAAAGTGAACTTTAGACCAGTTCTCCTCTCTCCACACAACATGCTCCTCAGCAAAGGTGAGTCTAGCCTTTTGATTCTTTTTGCTCATGAGAGGCTTAGTAACTGCAGAGTATGCTTTCAGTCTGACATCTCTTAAACAGATCCTTACCCTGTTTAGCGTTCAGCTGGCAAGCAATTCCAGCTGCAGTGTTGAACCGATTCCCCATTGAGATTCTCTACATTATCCTGCCCTCTCATGCATTTGTCTTACGTGGACGACCAGCCTTTTTGGGGGACTTGAATGAATCGGTGTCATTGTAAAACTGCAATTTGCGAGAAATCACAGATTCGGAATGACCAACTTCTCTTGCAGTGGCTGAAAGGGTCATCCCTTTAGCCTTCATCTGGATAACCTCCTGTCGCAAGGTTTCGGTCACCTTAGAGCAGCCCGCAATTTTGCAATCTCAGTGAAAATTGGAGGAATGCTGCCAGTTAAATAGGGTTTGTCATATAATTAAGGAAATTAGCACCAGGTGCCAGATTAATACCAATAAATTGGAGGTATCTGTAAGTGTTCTCCAATTTTGATCAGAATTATTTTTCAAATATCTCATTTTAAGTTTTTTATACTGTGCTTCAGGATACAATTAATTTATGAAATTTGCTTAAAAAATTGCCCTTCTACTCCTGTTAGGATAACTTCAAATAGGACTAAGCAGTGACCTTGAAATGTAGA